TGTGAGACACTGACAAAATAGTACCTGATTTCCGTGGCAACTTCAAGGGGTTCCACAACACTAACACCAGCAACCCGCAAAACGGGAGCGGGGTCAGGAGTATACTTGCCACAGAACTTCCATACCTCCTTGCAAACCGCACACATAGGGAAAGTCGAGGTAATCGTAGACACGTAGTCTTGCCAGCAAGTACGTTTAGCATCCCGTATGATATGGCGAGCGACTGCCCTTCCCCGCTTAAAATACATAGAATGATCTGAGGTCCGATTATTTCGATAATGGCCCACGCAGCAAGTTTCAAATGCACTGCACGGGCACACGCAGGAGACCACCAATGCACACATGTCTGAGAATGTCTGCCTGATGTTTAAGGAATAGAACTTGATGCTGCAGTCAAAATTAAGGTCGAAAACTGGTGCACCAAATAATCAACGGAGGAAGAAGGGTCCCCACAAAAGGCGGTAAGATAAGTCCCAGTTCGCTTGTCCAAATTGCCAACAGGGGCTACAAAGCGGTCAGAAATGCATAGAAGAATAGGAACTGGGAGAACTGACCAAGCATAATCAAGTGCAATTGATAAGCAGATAGAAAGATCAATGCAAGAGAGAGACCGAGTGCTAAAGTCAAAATGGGTGGTAGCACCCGTATTTAAAACATGAGGATAAATGAGAAGAGTCTGCAACTGATCACCATGAGATTCACAGTGGTACCCTCCCCAAAGATGATGGTGAGCGTTAAAACCACCTAACAAGATGGGCGGGTAGAGGAGAGAGAGCAAACTGTATGCCACCTTTGCAAATACAGGCTGTAGTATAATGCAGTAGAGAACGAACAAAGACCTGTTGATACGGTATACCAACGAGCACAAGAAGCTCACTCTCATGAAATGATTCATCAGGAAAGGGATCGGAAGAATGTAACAGCACATAACCTGAAATGGGACAAATAACAGCTGAACGAATTTTGGGGTCTTGTAGCCCAACACATACTGGGAAAAACTGGAGCTCTACCCAATTATTAACTCCTAAGGTCACGAATATTCCATTGTAAATAAGTCATTCACAAAAGAGAGGTATGCCAGTAATAAGAAGCGATAAAATCTATGGACTATTAAGGTCATTGAAGTCAATGTGTGGAGGCACTGGAAAGTGTGTAAGCAAGGAGGAATCAGAATGTTATGAAGGAAAAGATTGCTGTGCGGGTCGTGAAAAATAAAAAGGGGTAGAAGGTGGCACGCCGGTGTCCATCGAGGGTTTCGTCACGCACTCTCACTCACTCATTCCCCCACACACTCATTTCCCCACCCTCTCATCCCCACACACTCTCATCCCCACACACTCTCATTTCCACACACTCTCATCCCCACACACTCTCATCCCCACACACTCTCATCCCCACACACTCTCATCCCCACACACTCTCATCCCCACCACACTCATTCCCCACACACTCTCATCCCCACACACTCTCATCCCCACACACTCTCATCCCCACACACTCTCATCCCCACACACTCTCATCCCCACACACTCTCATCCCCACACACTCTCATCCCCACACACTCTCATCCCCACACACTCTCATTCCCACACACTCTCATTCCCACACAACACACATTCCACCCACACACTCATCCCACACACACACTCATTCCACACACACACACTCATTCCCACACACACACACTCATTCCCACACACACACACTCATTCCCACACACACACACACACACACACACACACTCATTCCCACACACACACTCATTCCCACACACACACTCATTCCCACACACACACTCATTCCCACACACACACTCATTCCCACACACACTCATTCCCACACACACACTCATTCTCACACACACACTCATTCCCACACACACACTCATTCCCCACACACACACTCATTCCCACACACACACACTCATTCCCACACACACACACTCATTCCCACACACATTATTCCCACACACACTCATTCCCACACACACTCATTCCCACACACACTCATTCCCACACACACACTCATTCCCACACACACACTCATTTCCCACACACACACTCATTCACACACACACACTCATTCACACACACACACTCATTCACACACACACACTCATTCACAACACACACTCATTCCCACACACACTCATTCCCACACACACTCATTCCCACACACACTCATTCCCAACACACACCATATTCCCACACACACACTCATTCCCACACACACACTCATTCCCACACACACACTCATTCCCACACACACATAGCTTTAAGCAGAGGTACGATAAAGCTCACGGCTCAGGGAGAGTGACCTAGTAGCGATCAGTGAAGAGGCGGGGCCAGGAGCTCGGACTCGACCCCCGCAACCTCAACTAGGTGAGTACAACTAGGTGAGTACACACTCATTCCCACACACACTCATTCACACACTCTCATTCACACACTCTCATTCACACACTCTCATTCACACACTCTCATTCACACTCATTCACACACTCTCACGCACTCTCTCACACACACACTCATTCTCACACTCTCACACACAAACACACACACTCACATTCTCACACTTTCACACTCACTTTCACATTCATTCATTCACACACACACAAACACACACACACAAAACCTTATGCATCAACATGTTGAGGACACTACCAGAGAGAGAGGGGGGAGGGTGAACCAGCAAGACTGGACCTTGTGTTCACCCTGAGCAGTTCAGACCTTGAGGACATCACATACGCGAGGCCCCTTGGTTCTGTGTTTTGAATACATAGTAGAATTACAAGTAGAGTAACAGGAGTTGGATGGGAAAAGCCAAACTATAAAAAGAGAGACTTCACAGGTGTGAGGAGCTTCCTGCAGGAGGTTCAGTGGGATAGAGAATTGGCAGGAGAGCCAGTAAATGACATGGAATATGTAACAACAAAATGCAGGAAGGCAGAGGAAAGGTTTGTTCCCAAGGGCAACAGAAACAATGGAAAGACCAAAGCGAGTCCTTGGTTTACCCGAAGGTGTAGGGAGGCAAAAACTAAATGTAACAGAGAATGAAAAAGATGCAGGAGGCAAAGGACCCAAAAAAATAGAGAGACTAGTCGAAGAGCCAGAAACGAGTATACACAGATGAGGGAGGCCCAGCGACAGTACGAAAACGACATAGCATCGAAAGCCAAGTCTGACCCAAAACTGCTGTATAGCCGCATTAAGAGGAAGACAACAGTCAAAGACCAGGTGATAAGGCTGAGGAAAAAAGGTGGGGAACTCACCAGAAGTGATCAAGCGGTATGTGAGGAGCTCAAGAAATTTAAGGAAGTATTTACAGTGGAGACAGGAAGGCCTCTGGGTGGACAGAACAGAAGGGGAAGCCAACAAGTGTTAGTTGACATACACACAACTGAGGAGGAGGTGAAGAAGCTGCTAAGGGACCTTGATACCTCAAAGGCAATGGGACCAGACATCTCCCCGTGGGTCCTTAGAGAAGGAGCAGAAATGCTGTGTGTGCCACTAACCACAATCTTCAATACATCCCTTGAAACTGAGCAACTACCTGAGGCATGGAAGACTGCAAATGTAGTACCCATATTTAAAAAAGGAGACAGAAAAGAGGCACTGAACTATAGACCAGTGTCACTGATGTGCATAGTATGCAAAGTAATGGAGAAGATTATCAGGAGGAGAGTGGTGGAGCACCTGGAACGGAACAAGAGCATAAACGCCAACCAGCATGGATTTATGGAAGGCAAATCCTGTGTCACAAACCTTCTGGAGTTTTATGATAAAGTAACAGAAGTAAGACACGAGAGAGAGGAGTGGGTTGGTTGCATCTTCTTGGACTGCAGGATGGCCTCCCACACAGTTCCTCACAGGAGACTGGTGCAGGAGCTAGAGGATCAGGCGCATATAACAGGAAGGGCGCTGCAATGGATCAGAAAATACCTGACAGGGAGGCGACGAGTCATGGTACGTGATGCGGTATCACAGTGGGCGCCTGTGATGAACGAGGTCTCACAGAGGTCAGTCCTAGGACCAGTGCTATTTTTGGTATATGTGAATGAAATGATGGAAGGAATAGACTCTGAAGTGTCCCTGTTCGCAGATGATGTGAGGTTAATGAGGAGAAGTAAATCAGATGAGGATCAGGCAGGACTTCAAAGAGACCTGGACAGGCTGGACACCTGGTCCAGCAACTGGCTTCTCGAATTTAACCCCGTCAAATGCAAAGTCATGATTATCAGGGAACTAAGATACGGAAGCACACATAAACCAGATAACTGCTGCAGCATATGGGCGCCTGGCAAACCTGAGAATAGCGTTCCGATACCTTTGTAAGAAATCGTTCAAGACACTGTACACCGTGTACGTCAGGCCCATATTGGAGTGTGCAGCACCTGTTTGGAACCCACACTTCATCAAGCACGTCAAGAAATTAGAGAAAGTGCAAAGGTTTGCGACAAGATTAGTTCCAGAGCTAATTGGAACGAATTGACCTAATTTGCACGAAATGCTCTGCATAACAAGCGGCTTTCTATATAGTAGTATGTCATCGACGTCAGCTGGGACTGTATACCTTGTGCATGTACTTGCAGAAATAAAATTATTCTTATTAATTAAAATCTCTCTCCAATGTCAACATCACTACCTCTCCTCCTCAGTACATTCACGTTACTTGTACCCACATCCAGAACAAGTTCGAATAACCAGCATCTCTGAATTCTTTCGTGTTACCAAGCTCTCATCTCATGCCCACACTCAATTGCTGGATGCTAAATCCTCTACCACTCAAAACCTCCTTCGTCCCCTTCCCTCCCTCCAACCTTTCCTTAGATTACATCCCCTTCGGTTACCCCTCTTGGTAATCTTATTTCGTTCCATCCTCTTTAAATGCACAAACCACCTCAGCTGGTAGTAGTAGGTGGGCGTATACTGTCAAAGTTGTAAGTGTAATAAAGTATCTGGAGTGTGTGGTGGTACAATAACAATGGTGTAATAAAATACCTCGACAGTGTGTGCGCGGGTGGGTAGTTGTTGGTTTGCGAGAGCATGGAGGTAAAGTTGACCATCTTGTAAAGTTATTCTGCAGCAGCGGAAGCCATTTGAGTCTTTCTGGATAGCCAACACCAGGCCAGCCTCCACCAGTCTCTTGATGCTCTCACTCATCCCACGAAGATGACGCACCTGTGGATATTGTAAGCATCATTTTTGTGTGTGCAGTGGCAGTAGCATCATCATCCATGTACAGTGTCAGCATCATTGTGTATAGTGCCAGTACTATTCTTGTCTAATCTTAAGTACTATTGCACTCACATACGAAGCAACTTAAAATGACAAAACTGACTGAATATCTACCAACTTGACAAAATGGACGACCAAAAAAGAGGACTGTCCTACATACCCAACATCAGCCCCGCTGCCAGACGAAAAATTACACTGCCCCAGTCAAACTAAACCAGTATTCTGGGCAGAGGGGAACACATGAGAACCACCTCGAGAAACATCAAGATGCTGGGGAGACGGAGCATCATCCCCCCAGCTTACCACATATGACCAACTTAAAAGACGATGACTCCATCCGATGGCTTTGCGCAAAACTCATCTAAATTCCCAGGTATTACCACAGTCATCTAGGTTCATGAACATTGCAACGAGATCTTATTGCGTAACCTACACAGCATGATTCAAGAAAATAGTTGACTTTGATCATTACAGGAAACTCTTGAAAATAAGGTCGTCGACCTAGAGTGCTCGCAGCTACATCAAAACACCAGGATCCACGAAACTGAACAAAAATAAAAGACGAACACACAGGAATACAAATAATTATTAAACATACTTATTAAATAACTTCTCAAAAACACAAGAATGGAAGAAGTTGTACATGACTGGAAATCTAACAGATTCATACAAGAGGGAATACCTCCATAATCCAAAAGATCTAACTGAACAAGAGTTATTAGACGGTGTAAGTTTAAACAGTCCTCTGACCTAGATGCATAAAACCAACTATCTCAGTTGTTATTCTGGTCGCTAAAAATGAACTGCAGATTAACACAGTTAAGAACATAAAAAAGAAGGAACACTGCAGCAGGCCTACTGGCCCATGCGAGGCAGGTCCAAGTCTCCTACCGGCTTAAGCCAATGCCCTAACCCAGCAACCACCCAGGGAGCTACTACCGTCCTGTGGTAGTAGGTTGGTAGATAGTAACCACCCAAGGGGCTACTACAGCCCTGTGGTAGTAGGCTGATAGACAGCAACCACCCAGGGAGCTACTACCGTCCTGTGGTAGTAGGCTGGTAGACAGCAACCACCCAGGAAGCTACTACCGTCCTGTCAAATGCGTGTGAAGTAGAAACCTGTAACTCTTACACAATGGGAGGAATGCTGGCGTCTGTCTCAAACACACAAAGAAAATAGGTACATCTTGTTACTTCTGCTTACACTTCAGCACACTACATACCGTACATACTGTACATGTACTAGCATATGTATAAACACCTTTCTGAATTTTCTCTTATTTTTCTAAATAGTTTGTGTTCTTTTTATTTCGTTTCATCCCCATGAGGCAGTGGAAAGGAATCTTTCCTCTAAGTCATGCGTGTCTCAGAGGTTACAAATGCCGGGAGCAATAACTTAGTAACCCCTTCTCTTGTATAAGTTATTAAAAATAACAGGACAAACTTGATAAAGCTGGGATGTTTGAATGTGCGTGGTGTAGTGCACATAAGAAATAGGTTATTGTAAGCTAATGTTATGAATAAAAAGAAGTTGGATATCCTAGTTCTAAGCGAGAAAGCTGAAGGGGGTAGGGAAGTTTGAATGTGGAGAAATATATGGGATGAAGTCAGGAGTATCTGAGAGTTAGAGCTAAGGAAGGGTCAGGTCAGGTCAGGTCACATTCACTTAAGGAACACTGCATCTGACTTAGTAGCACAAGCTAGTCAGGTCTAACTCACACTCACTCATGTGCTTATCTAACCTATTTTCGAAACTACACAACGTTTCAGCCTCTATAACTGTACTCGGGAGTTTGTCCCACTCATCCACAACTCTGTTACCAAACCAGTACTTTCCTATATCCTTCCTGAATCTGAGTTTTTCCAAATTAAAATCATTGCTGCGAGTATTGCCTATGCTAGATATTCTTAGCACGATATTTATATCCATGTTATTTATTCTTGCTTTCCATTTATACACCTCAATCATATCCCCCTTAATTCCACGCCTTTTAAGAGAGTGCAGATTCAGGGCCTCAGTCTATCCTCATAGGGAAAATTTCTGATACATGGGATCATCTTTGTCATCCTCTTCTGTACGTTTTCCAGATTGAACACGTTTTCCAGAGCATTTATATCCATTCTGTAATACGGTGACCAGAACTGAGCAGCTTAGTCTAAATGAGGTCTAACCAAGGATATATAGAGTTAAACAACCTGAGGACTTCTATTATTTATACTTCTTATTGGACGAAAGGCACCTGCTGGAGGAAGGGCACCTGCTGGAGGAAGGGCACCTGCTGGAGGAAGGGCACCTTACTGATGGAAGAAGGGCACCTTACTGATGGAAGAAGGGCACCTTACTGATGGAAGAAGGGCACCTTACTGATGGAAGAAGGGCACCTTACTGATGGAGGAAGGGCACCTTACTGATGGAGGAAGTGCACCTTACTGGAGGAAGGGCACCTTACTCATGGAGGAAGGGCACCTTACTCATGGAGGAAGGGCACCTTACTCATGGAGGAAGGGCACCTTACTCATGGAGGAAGGGCACCTTACTCATGGAGGAAAGGGGCACCTTACTCTGGAGGAAGGGCACCTTACTCATGGAGGAAGGGTACCTTACTCATGGAGGAAGGGTGCCTTACTGTTGGAGGAAGGGCACCTTGCTGATGGAGGAAGGGCACCTTACTGATGGAGGAAGGGCACCTTACTGATGGAGAAAGGGCACCTTACTGATGGAGAAAGGGCACCTTATGATGGAAGAAGGGCACCTTACTGATGGATGAAGGGCACCGTACTGATGGAGGATGGGCACCTTACTCATGGAGGAAGGGCACCTTACTCATGGAGGAAGGGCACCTTACTCATGGAGGAAAGGGCACCTTTACTCATGGAGGAAGGGCACCTTACTGATGGAGGAAGGGCACCTTACTCATGGAGGAAGGGCACCTTACTCATGGAGGAAGGGTACCTTACTGATGGAGGAAGGGTACCTTACTGTTGGAGGAAGGGCACCTTGCTGATGGAGGAAGGGCACCTTACTGATGGAAGAAGGGCATCTTACTGATGGAAGAAGGGCACCTTACTGATGGAAGAAGGGCACCTTACTGATGGAAGAAGGGCACCCTACTGGAGGAAGGGCACCTTACTGATGGAGGAAGGGCACCTAACTGATGGAGGAAGGGCACCTTACTGATGGAAGAAGGGCACCTTACTGATGGAAGAAGGGCACATTACTGATGGAAGAAGGGCACCTTACTGATGGAAGAAGGGCACCTTACTGATGGAAGAAGGGCACCTTACTGATGGAAGAAGGGCACCTTACTGATGGAAGAAGGGCACCTTACTGATGGAAGAAGGGCACCTTACTGATGGAAGAAGGGCACCTTACTGATGGAAGAAGGGCACCTTACTGATGGAAGAAGGGCACCCTACTGGAGGAAGGGCACCTTACTGATGGAGAAAGGGCACCTTACTGATGGAAGAAGGGCACCTTACTGATGGATGAAGGGCACCTTACTGATGGAGGAAGGGCAACCTTACTCATGGAGGAAGGGCACCTTACTCATGGAGGAAGGGCACCTTACTCATGGAGGAAGGGCACCTTACTCATTGGAGGAAGGGCACCTTACTCATGGAGGAAGGGCACCTTACTCATGGAGGAAGGGCACCTTACTCATGGAGGAAGGGCACCTTACTCATGGAGGAAGGGCACCTTACTCATGGAGAAGGGCACCTTACTCATGGAGGAAGGGCACCTTACTCATGGAGGAAGGGCACCTTACTCATGGAGGAAGGGCACCTTACTGATGGAGGAAGGGTACCTTACTGTTGGAGGAAGGGCACCTTGCTGATGGAGGAAGGGCACCTTACTGATGGAAGAAGGGCACCTTACTGATGGAAGAAGGGCACCTTACTGATGGAAGAAGGGCACCTTACTGATGGAAGAAGGGCACCTTACTGATGGAAGAAGGGCACCTTACTGATGGAAGAAGGGCACCTTACTGATGGAAGAAGGGCACCTTACTGATGGAGGAAGGGCACCCTACTGGAGGAAGGGCACCTTACTGATGGAGAAAGGGCACCTTACTGATGGAAGAAGGGCACCTTACTGATGGATGAAGGGCACCTTACTGATGGAGGATGGGCACCTTACTCATGGAGGAAGGGCACCTTACTCATGGAGGAAGGGCACCTTACTCATGGAGGAAGGGCACCTTACTGGAGGAAGGGTACCTTACTGATGGAGGAAGGGTACCTTACTGATAGAAGAAGGGCACCTTACTGATGGAGGAAGAAACACCTTACTGATGGAAGAAGGGCACCTTACTGATGGATAAAGGGCACCTTACTGATGGAGGAAGGGCACCTTACTCATGGAGGAAGGGCACCTTACGGGAGGAAGGGCACCTTACTCATGGAGGAAGGGCACCTTACTGATGGAGGAAGGGTACCTTACTGTTGGAGGAAGGGCACCTTGCTGATGGAGGAAGGGCACCTTACTGATGGAAGAAGGGCATCTTACTGATGGAAGAAGGGCACCTTACTGATGGAAGAAGGGCACCTTACTGATGGAGAAGGGCACCTTACTGATGGAAGAAGGGCACCTACGGAGGAAGGGCACCTTTAAACTGATGGAGGAAGGGCACCTAACTGATGGAGGAAGGGCACCTTACTGATGGAAGAAGGGCACATTACTTATGGAGGAAGGGCACCTTACTGATGGATGAAGGGCACCTTACTGATGGAGGAAGGGCACCTTACTGATGAAAGAAGGGCACCTTACTGATGCAAGAAGGACACCTTACTGATGGAAGAAGGGCGCCTTACTGATGGAGGAAGGGCACCTTACTGATGGAGGAAGGGCACCTTACTGGAGGAAGGGCACCTTACTGATGGAGGAAGGGCAACCTTACTGAGGGAAGAAGAGCACCTTACTGATGGAGGAAGGGCACCTTACTGATGGAGGAAGGGCACCTAACTGAAGGAATATGGGCACCTTACTGATGGAAGAAGGGCACCTTACTGATGGAAGAAGGGCACATTACTGATGGAAGAAGGGACCTTACTGATGGAAGAAGGGGACCTTACTGATGGAGGAAGGTACATTACTGATGGAGGAAGGCACATTACTGATGTAAGAAGGGCACATTGCTGATGGATGAAGGGCACCTTACTGATGGAGGAAGGGCACCTTACTGTTGGAAGAAGGGCACCTTACTGTTGGAAGAAGGGCACCTTACTGATGGAGGAAGGGCACCTAACTGATGGAGGAAGGCACCTTACTGATTGGAGGAGGCACCTTACTGGAGGAAGGGCACCTTACTGATGGAGGAAGTGCACCTTACTGATGAGGAAGGCACCTTACTGATGGAGGAAGGGCACCTTACTGATGGAGAAGGCACCTTACTGATGGAGGAAGGGTACCTTACTGAGGAAGGGCACCTTACTGATGGAGGAAGGGCACCTTACTGGTAGAGGAACGGCACCTTACTGATGGATGAAACGGCACCTTACTGATGGAGGAACGGCACCTTACTGATGAGGAACGGCACCTTACTGATGGAGAAGGACACCTTACTGATGGAAGAAGGGCACCTTACTGATGGAGGAGGGCACCTTGCTGTTTGGAGGAAGGCACCTTACTGATGGAGGAAGGACACCTTACTGATGGAAGAAGGGCACCTTATGATGAAGGGCACCTTACTGATGGAGGAAGGGTACCTTACTGGAGGAAGGAAATCTTACTGATGGAGGAAGGGCACTTTACTGATGGAGGAAGGGCACCTTACTGATGGATGAAGGGCACCTTACTGAAGGAGGAAGGGGCACCTTACTGATGGAAAAGGGTACCTTACTGATGGAGGAAGGGCACCTTACTGATGGAAGAAGGGCACCTTACTGATGGAGGAGGGCACCTTACTGATGAAGGAAGGGCACCTTACTTATGGAAGAAGGGTACCTTACTGATGGAGGAAGGGCACCTTACTGATGGAAGAAGGGCACCTTACTGATGGAGGAAGGGCACCTTACTGATGGAGGAAGGGCACCTTACTGATGGAGGAAGGGCACCTTACTAATGGAGGAAGGGCACCTTACTGATGGAGGAAGGGCACCTTACTGATGGAGGAAGGGCACCTTACTGATGGAAGGGCACCTTACTGATGGAGGAAGGGCACCTTACTGATGGAGGAAGGGCACCTTACTGATGGAGGAAGGGCACCTTACTGATGGAGGAAGGGTACCTTACTGTTGGAGGAAGGGCACCTTGCTGATGGAGGAAGGGCACCTTACTGATGGAAGAAGGGCACCTTACTGATGGAAGAAGGGCACCTTACTGATGGAAGAAGGGCACCTTACTGATGGAAGAAGGGCACCTTACTGATGGAAGAAGGGCACCTTACTGATGGAAGAAGGGCACCTTACTGATGGAAGAAGGGCACCTTACTGATGGAGGAAGGGCACCTTACTGATGGAAGGGCACCTTACTGATGGGGGAAGGCACCTTACTGATGGAGGAAGGGCACCTTACTGATGGAGGAAGGGCACCTTACTGATGGAAGAAGGGCACCTTACTGATGGAGGAAGGGCACCTTACTGATGGAGGAAGGGCACCTTACGATGGAAGAAGGGCACCTTACTGATGGAGGAAGGGCACCTTACTGATGGAGGAAGGGCACCTTACTGATGGAAGGGCACCTTACTGATGGAGGAAGGGCACCTTACTGATGGAGGAGGGGCACCTTTCTGATGGAGGAAGGGCACCTTACTGATGGAGGAAGGGCACCTTACTGATGGAGGAAGGGCACCTTACTGATGGAGGAAGGGCACCTTACTGATGGAGGAAGGGCACCTTACTGATGGAGGAAGGGCACCTTACTGATGGAGGAAGGGCACCTCACTCGGCTTTGATAAACTTAAATACATTAAAACATGTGTATCTAACCAAAAGTTTCCCAGTCATGTGAAAGTCATGTGAAAGTCATGTGAAAGTCATGGTCAGTAGTCCAGTGAGTGTATTTTGTAGCAAGTTACAAGCGCTCCACTTTCATGCGAGGGGTGAGTAGGCGTTTCCTTGCGGACTGAAACTTGGCAGGTGGCGCTTGTTTTGCAGGTGGTGATGGACGCACGCACCGAATCGAAGAATTTAGGATGCATTTTCTTTGACCTGTGATGCATTCATACGTACATTTCTATGTAGGTCTCTGCATAGATTGCTATCCGTGTCTAGATGTCCTCCTTTACCGTCCAATATGAGGTTTTGTAGCGAAAATAAAATTCGGTGGGAGGCCACAAGTGGCAGCAAGTATCGCCTTCCCCTGGTCTTCACTCATCCAGTATAGTGATATTGCCTTTATGGTAACTTTCTGGTTCTCTTATTCTTTAACCAACCCATATTTACCCACTTGGCACAAAACTACAAGACATTAAATACAGCTGCAAACCCTTGTGTTACAGCTCGTCTTAGTGTTACATGTAGGTGCACTTTCCGGTGATATACATTACATATACGTCAAGCAGTTTTCTGGAGTGTGAATGAAACTCATAAGACTTCAAGTGATCATCAAGGCCAAACGGGAGGTAAATATTAATGTATACCTGGAGATGGTTTTGGGGGTCAACGCCCCCGTTGCTCGGTCTGAGACCAGGCCTTCATGTAGGCAGCAAATATTACACTTTTTGACCTATACTTTTTATTTTAATTTGCGATAACAGAAGGTAAGGTTCAAATTACTTTCAAGGGCCCTGACACAACAGTGATCCGTTACAAAACATAAAAGAGAGAAGCTTACGACTACGTTTCGTGGTCCGATTTGGACCATTGACAAAGTCACAAGTCGGTCCAAGTCGGACCGAAACGTCGTCGTAAGCTTCTCTCTTTTATGTGCGGGTTATTTATGTATCGTTCCAGTCACGGTATTGGGGCCTTTTTGTTATTTTGTGATCCGTTACATATAAAATTACTTTCAAGGGCCCTGACACAACAGTGATCCGTTACACATAAAATTACTTTCAAGGGCCCTGACACAACAGTGATCCGGGTTTCATATAAAATTACTTTCAAGGGCCCTGACACAACAGTGATCCGTTTCATATAAAAAGCATAGGGAGCAGTTTTACCCAATTTAAGGTATAAAAGATTACATAGTTTTTAATAAGGAATATTATCGTTATGACGTTATTATCATTAGTTCTGTATTACGTTAATAAAACTCAGAAGAACTTTCAACTTACAGTAATTCTCTTAGCTATCTCTAAGGTGTTGGTGGTTCTGTCTACCAGGTGGATAGAGGCACCTGCGGCAGCTGTAGCACCTGCGGCAGCTGTAGCACCTGCGGCAGCTGTAGCACCTGTGGCAGCTGTAGCACCTGCGGCAGCTGTAGCACCTGCGGCAGCTGTAGCACCTGCGGCAGCTGTAGCACCTGCGGCAGCTGTAGCACCTGTGGCAGCTGTAGCACCTGCGGCAGCTGTAGCACCTGTGGCAGCTGTAGCACCTGAAGCAGCTGTAGCACCTGAGGCAGCTGTAGCACCTGAGGCAGCTGTAGCACCTGCGCAGCTGTAGCACCTGCGGCAGCTGTAGCACCTGCGGCAGCTGTAGCACCTGCGGCAGTAGTAATTTCTTCTATCGTGATTTCACTAGTTATTCTGTGAACCCTTTCCATGATGGTTGAACCTGCGGTTTCCATAAGGACAGGAAGAGCTGTGGCACCTGGGTCTCTGATATGTCCAGAGCCAACTGGTCTTCTGCACCTGTTATCAACAACAAATATTACTGGCACTCGCAAACTAACACAAACGCACCTATTAATTCCTCAAGTCTTGTATCTTCAAATATCATTCACACCTTCATTCAACTTTCCTAGCATATCCCCTACACCTCCTGTAACCTTTCTTAGCATATCCCTTTCGTCAACCTTTCCTATTATTATTATAATCAAGAAGAAGCGCTAAGCCACAAGGGCTATACAGCTCTGCAGGGTAGGGAAGGAAGCGAGGGTATTGGATAGCAGAAGGGAGGAGGGATGGATCAGTAGGTTACAGAAAACAGCAGGGCAGGGGATAGTAAAGGGGGCAGAGGGTAGCAAGAGATTGAAGTAGAAAGGGCTGAAGGTATCAGAATTTGTGAAGTAAGTCAGTTGTTGTCAAAAAGTCAATGAGAGAGTCCGGATGAAAGGTGGGTCCATCAGCGAGAAGGGAAGGGTAAAGAGAGAACAGCGGAGCGAAGACCGACGACGGAGGTAAATTCTGCGTGCTCGTTGATAAAGGGGCAGTCACAGAAGGGGGCTGACGGATAATGGAGCTTGGCAAATTCTCACAGAGAGGAGCAGGGCGCCTCTCCATGAGATATCCATGAGTAGATGAGTATAAACCAATGCGAAGATGGGAGAGAGTAGTCTCCCAACTCGACACTGGTGATAAGAAGACGGCCAGTAACCTATACTTGGTTAATAAAGATTGAAGTTTGTTTTATTATAATCAAAAAGAAGCGCTAAGCCACAAGGGCTATGCAGCATTGAAGTTATTTGCCGAGCATAGTAGACCAATGGTGTTGCCAACGGGTGTGAAGTGGGAAGAAAATTGCAGCAGAAATAGTCCGTAAATGAGATAACTCTATATGAAACTGGTAGGTCATGTACTGCTGACCGCGACAGTGTCTGCCGTTCTTGCCACTGTACTCAACAGACCAGGACCCAACAAAAACATATCTTTTATGCTTGGTAAAATATGCGGCGTAAGCCAAAGTTGGATACGGAAGGACTAAGGGTGAGGTGTATCAAATTTCTGTATAGCCTGTAAAGCAAATAATGGAGTCTGAGAAACCACAAATGATGACAAGGCATAGATGCAATACGGATAAGTGCTGTAAGGATGGCTACAATTCAGCAAAAAAAAACTAGCCGAAGATAGTAAAATGCCCTTGTACGAACGTGTCCGGAACACTGCTGCGAATTCAACGGCGTCATGAAACTTATGAGCCACGTGTACACACAATGGCATGAGAATGAAGTGAAAGTGGCTAGAAAAAGAGAGCGGGAAGCGACCGTAGACAGTTGGGGTTTCGAGCAAGGGAGAGAGAAAGAACAGACTCGAACAGCTGGAACTTCCCAGGGGGTAGGAAAAGTGAGATGCTACATGAACATAGAAAGGGGTAATTGAAGAGAAGACAAGAGCGATGAAGGCGAAGAGAGAAGGGACGGATAAACAGGGGCGGCGAACAAATAAAGAATGTCTACTAATATCAGTGACCATTAATAAATGGAAGGATTGCAGAATCATGAGAGCATACATAGTAGCGATGGCAATGGGCATAATCGGCGATCGGATAAGGATGGAACGTTCGCTCTGCATAGAGGCTCTCGACAGGAAGAGCGAAAGCACCAAGGCATAAACGTTTAATCCATTGTGATGATGGGGAAGGAATAGAGAGAGTAGCAGAAAGCCGCTGAATAGATCTGGTCACCATAATCAAGTTTCGATAAAATAAGGGTGGAATGTAGGCGAAGGAGGGTTCGACGATCAGCTCCCCATGAAAGATGAGCAAGGGTTTTAAGAAGGTTCAGCCGGCTGTGACAGGTTGCCTTCAGAGAGGTAATGTGAGGTTTCCAGGATAACCTACGATCAAAGAGGAGGCCCAGAAACTTGACTGTATCACGTTCAGGGATACTGGAGCCATAGAGGTACAAAGGATGATCGGAGATGACAGAGCGTCTAGTGAAACTAATTTGGTGGGTTTTAGTGCTGGAAAATTTAAACACGTGTGGTGGCCCAATTGGAAACACGGTCGACTGCATGCTGGAGAGAAACTGTAATGAGGTGACAGTCAGCGTCTGCACAGGCAATAGCGAAGTCATCAACATAGAGTGATGACCAAATATTTGATGGAAGACCAGAAGCCAAATCATTAATAGCAAGGAGAAAAAGAGTTGTGCTCAAAACACATCCCTGGGGGACACCTTCAGCTTGGATAAAGTCCGGGGAGAGCACATTATTAACCCGAACACGGAAATGCCTGTCAGTAAAAGTTTTTTAAGGAAGCTTTTTTTTCCCTTCTGTACGTTTTCCAATTGAACACTTTTTCCAAGAAATTATATCCATTCTGTAATACGGTGACCAGAACTGAGCACTTAGTCTAAATGAGGTCTAACCAAGGATATATAGAGTTAAACAACCTGAGGATTTCTATTATTTATACTTCTTATTGGACGAAAGGCACCTGCTGGAGGAAGGGCACCTGCTGGAGGAAGGGCACCTGCTGGAGGAAGGGCACCTTACTGATGGAAGAAGGGCACCTTACTGATGGAAGAAGGGCACCTTACTGATGGAAGAAGGGCACCTTACTGATGGAAGAAGGGCACCTTACTGATGGAGGAAGGGCACCTTACTGATGGAGGAAGTGCACCTTACTGGAGGAAGGGCACCTTACTCATGGAGGAAGGGCACCTACTCATGGAGGAAGGGCACCTTACTCATGGAGGAAGGGCACCTTACTCATGGAGGAAGGGCACCTTACTCATGGAGGAAGGGCACCTTACTCATGGAGGAAGGGCACCTTACTCATGGAGGAAGGGTACCTTACTCATGGAGGAAGGGTGCCTTACTGTTGGAGGAAGGGCACCTTGCTGATGGAGGAAGGGCACCTTACTGATGGAGGAAGGGCACCTTACTGATGGAGAAAGGGCACCTTACTGATGGAGAAAGGGCACCTTACTGATGGAAGAAGGGCACCTTACTGATGGATGAAGGGCACCGTACTGATGGAGGATGGGCACCTTACTCATGGAGGAAGGGCACCTTACTCATGGAGGAAGGGCACCTTACTCATGGAGGAAGGGCACCTTACTCATGGAGGAAGGGCACCTTACTGATGGAGGAAGGGCACCTTACTCATGGAGGAAGGGCACCTTACTCATGGAGGAAGGGTACCTTACTGATGGAGGAAGGGTACCTTACTGTTGGAGGAAGGGAAACCTTGCTGATGGAGGAAGGGCACCTTACTGATTGAAGAAGGGCATCTTACTGATGGAAGAAGGGCCCCTTTAAACTGATGGAAGAAGGGCACCTTACTGATGGAAGAAGGGCACCCTACTGGAGGAAGGGCACCTTACTGATGGAGGAAGGGCACCTAACTGATGGAGGAAGGGCACCTTACTGATGGAAGAAGGGCACCTTACTGATGGAAGAAGGGCACATTACTGATGGAAGAAGGGCACCTTACTGATGGAAGAAGGGCACCTTACTGATGGAAGAAGGGCACCTTACTGATGGAAGAAGGGCACCTTACTGATGGAAGAAGGGCACCTTACTGATGGAAGAAGGGCACCTTACTGATGGAAGAAGGGCACCTTACTGATGGAAGAAGGGCACCTTACTGATGGAAGAAGGGCACCCTACTGGAGGAAGGGCACCTTACTGATGGAGAAAGGGCACCTTACTGATGGAAGAAGGGCACCTTACTGATGGTGAAGGGCACCTTACTGATGGAGGAAGGGCACCTTACTCATGGAGGAAGGGCACCTTACTCATGGAGGAAGGGCACCTTACTCATGGAGGAAGGGCACCTTACTCATGGAGGAAGGGCACCTTACTCATGGAGGAAGGGCACCTTACTCATGGAGGAAGGGCACCTTACTCATGGAGGAAGGGCACCTTACTCATGGAGGAAGGGCACCTTACTCATGGAGGAAGGGCACCTTACCCCATGGAGGAAGGGCACCTTACTCATGGAGGAAGGGAAACCTTACTCATGGAGGAAGGGCACCTTACTGATGGAGGAAGGGTACCTTACTGTTGGAGGAAGGGCACCTTGCTGATGGAGGAAGGGCACCTTACTGATGGAAGAAGGGCACCTTACTGATGGAAGAAGGGCACCTTACTGATGGAAGAAGGGCACCTTACTGATGGAAGAAGGGCACCTTACTGATGGAAGAAGGGCACCTTACTGATGGAAGAAGGGCACCTTACTGATGGAAGAAGGGCACCTTACTGATGGAGGAAGGGCACCCTACTGGAGGAAGGGCACCTTACTGATGGAGAAAGGGCACCTTACTGATGGAGAAAGGGCACCTTACTGATGGATGAAGGGCACCTTACTGATGGAGGATGGGCACCTTACTCATGGAGGAAGGGCACCTTACTCATGGAGGAAGGGCACCTTACTCATGGAGGAAGGGCACCTTACTGGAGGAAGGGTACCTTACTGATGGAGGAAGGGTACCTTACTGATAGAAGAAGGGCACCTTACTGATGGAGGAAGGACACCTTACTGATGGAAGAAGGGCACCTTACTGATGGATAAAGGGCACCTTACTGATGGAGGAAGGGCACCTTACTCATGGAGGAAGGGCACCTTACTGGAGGAAGGGCACCTTACTCATGGAGGAAGGGCACCTTACTGATGGAGGAAGGGTACCTTACTGTTGGAGGAAGGGCACCTTGCTGATGGAGGAAGGGCACCTTACTGATGGAAGAAGGGCATCTTACTGATGGAAGAAGGGCACCTTACTGATGGAAGAAGGGCACCTTACTGATGGAAGAAGGGCACCTTACTGATGGAAGAAGGGCACCCTACTGGAGGAAGGGCACCTTACTGATGGAGGAAGGGCACCTAACTGATGGAGGAAGGGCACCTTACTGATGGAAGAAGGGCACATTACTTATGGAGGAAGGGCACCTTACTGATGGATGAAGGGCACCTTACTGATGGAGGAAGGGCACCTTACTGATGAAAGAAGGGCACCTTACTGATGCAAGAAGGACACCTTACTGATGGAAGAAGGGCGCCTTACTGATGGAGGAAGGGCACCTTACTGATGGAGGAAGGGCACCTTACTGGAGGAAGGGCACCTTACTGATGGAGGAAGGGCACCTTACTGATGGAAGAAGAGCACCTTACTGATGGAGGAAGGGCACCTTACTGATGGAGGAAGGGCACCTAACTGAAGGAATATGGGCACCTTACTGATGGAAGAAGGGCACCTTACTGATGGAAGAAGGGCACATTACTGATGGAAGAAGGGCACCTTACTGATGGAAGAAGGGGACCTTACTGATGGAGGAAGGGTACATTACTGATGGAGGAAGGGCACATTACTGATGTAAGAAGGGCACATTGCTGATGGATGAAGGGCACCTTACTGATGGAGGAAGGGCACCTTACTGTTGGAAGAAGGGCACCTTACTGTTGGAAGAAGGGCACCTTACTGATGGAGGAAGGGCACCTAACTGATGGAGGAAGGGCACCTTACTGATGGAGGAAGGGCACCTTACTGGAGGAAGGGCACCTTACTGATGGAGGAAGTGCACCTTACTGATGGAGGAAGGGCACCTTACTGATGGAGGAAGGGCACCTTACTGATGGAGGAAGGGCACCTTACTGATGGAGGAAGGGTACCTTACTGGAGGAAGGGCACCTTACTGATGGAGGAAGGGCACCTTACTGGTAGAGGAACGGCACCTTACTGATGGAGAAACGGCACCTTACTGATGGAGGAACGGCACCTTACTGATGGAGGAACGGCACCTTACTGATGGAGGAAGGACACCTTACTGATGGAAGAAGGGCACCTTACTGATGGAGGAAGGGCACCTTGCTGATGGAGGAAGGGCACCTTACTGATGGAGGAAGGACACCTTACTGATGGAAGAAGGGCACCTTACTGATGAAGGGCACCTTACTGATGGAGGAAGGGTACCTTACTGGAGGAAGGGCATCTTACTGATGGAGGAAGGGCACTTTACTGATGGAGGAAGGGCACCTTACTGATGGATGAAGGGCACCTTACTGAAGGAGGAAGGGCACCTTACTGATGGAAGAAGGGTACCTTACTGATGGAGGAAGGGCACCTTACTGATGGAAGAAGGGCACCTTACTGATGGAGGAAGGGCACCTTACTGATGAAGGAAGGGCACCTTACTTATGGAAGAAGGGTACCTTACTGATGGAGGAAGGGCACCTTACTGATGGAAGAAGGGCACCTTACTGATGGAGGAAGGGCACCTTACTGATGGAGGAAGGGCACCTTACTGATGGAGGAAGGGCACCTTACTAATGGAGGAAGGGCACCTTACTGATGGAGGAAGGGCACCTTACTGATGGAGGAAGGGCACCTTACTGATGGAAGGGCACCTTACTGATGGAGGAAGGGCACCTTACTGATGGAGAAGGGCACCTACTGATGGAGGAAGGGCACCTTACTGATGGAGGAAGGGTACCTTACTGTTGGAGGAAGGGCACCTTGCTGATGGAGGAAGGGCACCTTACTGATGGAAGAAGGGCACCTTACTGATGGAAGAAGGGCACCTTACTGATGGAAGAAGGGCACCTTACTGATGGAAGAAGGGCACCTTACTGATGGAAGAAGGGCACCTTACTGATGGAAGAAGGGCACCTTACTGATGGAAGAAGGGCACCTTACTGATGGAGGAAGGGCACCTTACTGATGGAAGGGCACCTTACTGATGGAGGAAGGGCACCTTACTGATGGAGGAAGGGCACCTTACTGATGGAGGAAGGGCACCTTACTGATGGAAGAAGGGCACCTTACTGATGGAGGAAGGGCACCTTACTGATGGAGGAAGGGCACCTTACTGATGGAAGAAGGGCACCTTACTGATGGAGGAAGGGCACCTTACTGATGGAGGAAGGGCACCTTACTGATGGAAGGGCACCTTACTGATGGAGGAAGGGCACCTTACTGATGGAGGAGGGGCACCTTTCTGATGGAGGAAGGGCACCTTACTGATGGAGGAAGGGCACCTTACTGATGGAGGAAGGGCACCTTACTGATGGAGGAAGGGCACCTTACTGATGGAGGAAGGGCACCTTACTGATGGAGGAAGGGCACCTTACTGATGGAGGAAGGGCACCTCACTCGGCTTTGATAAACTTAAATACATTAAAACATGTGTATCTAACCAAAAGTTTCCCAGTCATGTGAAAGTCATGTGAAAGTCATGTGAAAGTCATGGTCAGTAGTCCAGTGAGTGTATTTTGTAGCAAGTTACAAGCGCTCCACTTTCATGCGAGGCGTGAGTAGGCGTTTCCTTGCGGACTGACAACTTGGCAGGTGGCGCTTGTTTTGCAGGTGGTGATGGACGCACGCACCGAATCGAAGAATTTAGGATGCATTTTCTTTGACCTGTGATGCATTCATACGTACATTTCTATGTAGGTCTCTGCATAGATTGCTATCCGTGTCTAGATGTCCTCCTTTACCGTCCAATATGAGGTTTTGTAGCGAAAATAAAATTCGGTGGGAGGCCACAAGTGGCAGCAAGTATCGCCTTCCCCTGGTCTTCACTCATCCAGTATAGTGATATTGCCTTTATGGTAACTTTCTGGTTCTCTTATTCTTTAACCAACCCATATTTACCCACTTGGCACAAAACTACAAGACATTAAATACAGTTTGCAAACCCTTGTGTTACAGCTCGTCTTAGTGTTACATGTAGGTGCACTTTCCGGTGATATACATTACATATACGTCAAGCAGTTTTCTGGAGTGTGAATGAAAACTCATAAGACTTCAAGTGATCATCAAGGCCAAACGGGAGGTAAATATTAATGTATACCTGGAGATGGTTTTGGGGGTCAACGCCCCCGTTGCTCGGTCTGAGACCAGGCCTTCATGTAGGCAGCAAATATTACACTTTTTGACCTATACTTTTTATTTTAATTTGCGATAACAGAAGGTAAGGTTCAAATTACTTTCAAGGGCCCTGACACAACAGTGATCCGTTACACACATAAAAGAGAGAAGCTTACGACTACGTTTCGGTCCGATTTGGACCATTGACAAAGTCACAAGTCGGTCCAAGTCGGACCGAAACGTCGTCGTAAGCTTCTCTCTTTTATGTGCGGGTTATTTATGTATCGTTCCAGTCACGGTATTGTGCCTTTTTGTTATTTTGTGATCCGTTACATATAAAATTACTTTCAAGGGCCCTGACACAACAGTGATCCGTTACACATAAAATTACTTTCAAGGGCCCTGACACAACAGTGATCCGTTACATATAAAATTACTTTCAAGGGCCCTGACACAACAGTGATCCGTTTCATATAAAAAGCATAGGGAGCAGTTTTACCCAATTTAAGGTATAAAAGATTACATAGTTTTTAATAAGGAATATTATCGTTATGACGTTATTATCATTAGTTCTGTATTACGTTAATAAAACTCAGAAGAACTTTCAACTTACAGTAATTCTCTTAGCTATCTCTAAGGTGTTGGTGGTTCTGTCTACCAGGTGGATAGAGGCACCTGCGGCAGCTGTAGCACCTGCGGCAGCTGTAGCACCTGCGGCAGCTGTAGCACTGTGGCAGCTGTAGCACCTGCGGCAGCTGTAGCACCTGCGGCAGCTGTAGCACCTGCGGCAGCTGTAGCACCTGCGGCAGCTGTAGCACCTTTTGGCAGCTGTAGCACCTGCGGCAGCTGTAGCACCTGTGGCAGCTGTAGCACCTGAAGCAGCTGTAGCACCTGAGGCAGCTGTAGCACCTGAGGCAGCTGTAGCACCTGCGGCAGCTGTAGCACCTGCGGCAGCTGTAGCACCTGCGGCAGCTGTAGCACCTGCGGCAGTAGTAATTTCTTCTATCGTGATTTCACTAGTTATTCTGTGAACCCTTTCCATGATGGTTGAACCTGCGGTTTCCATAAGGACAGGAAGAGCTGTGGCACCTGGCTCTCTGGATATGTCCAGAGCCAACCTGGTCTTCTGCACCTGTTATCAACAACAAATATTACTGGCACTCGCAACTAACACAAACGCACCTATTAATTCCTCAAGTCTTGTATCTTCAAATATCATTCACACCTTCATTCAATCTTTCCTAGCATATCCCCTACACCTCCCTGTAACCTTTCTTAGCATATCCCTTTCGTCAACCTTTCCTATTATTATTATAATCAAGAAGAAGCGCTAAGCCACAAGGGCTATACAGCTCTGCAGGGTAGGGAAGGAAGCGAGGGTATTGGATAGCAGAAGGGAGGAGGGATGATCAGTAGGTTACAGAAAACAGCAGGGCAGGGGATAGTACGGGGGCAGAGGGTAGCAAGAGATTGAAGTAGAAAGGGCTGAAGGTATCAGAATTTGTGAAGTAAGTCAGTTGTTGTCAAAAAGTCAATGAGAGAGTCCGGATGAAAGGTGGGTCCATCAGCGAGAAGGGAAGGTAAAGAGAGAACAGCGGAGCGAAGACGACGACGGAGGTAAATTCTGCGTGCTCGTTGATAAAGTGGGCAGTCCAACAGAATGTGGCTGACTGATAATGGAGCTTGGCAATTCTCACAGAGAGGAGCAGGGCGCCTCTCCATGAGATATCCATGAGTAAGATGAGTATAGCCAATGCGAAGATGGGAGAGAGTAGTCTCCCAACCTCGACACTGGTGATAAGAAGACGGCCAGTAACCTATACTTGGTTTAATAGATTGAAGTTTGTTATTATTATAATCAAAAAGAAGCGCTAAGCCACAAGGGCTATGCAGCATTGAAGTTTGTTGCCGAGCATAGTAGACCAATGGTGTTGCCAACGGGTGTGAAGGTGGGAAGATATTGCAGCAAAATAGTCCGTAAATGGAATAACTCTATATGAAACTGGTAGGTCATGTACTGCTGACCGCGCAGCAGTGTCTGCCTGTTCATTGCCCTGTACGTCAACATGACCAGGGACCCAACAAAAAACAATATCTTTATGCTTGGTAAAGATGCGGCGTAGCCAAAGTTGGATACGGAGGACTAAGGGGTGAGGTGTATCAAATTTCTGTATAGCCTGTAAAGCACTAATGGAGTCTGAGACAACCACAAATGATGACAAAGGCATAGATGCAATACGGATAAGTGCTGTAAGGATGGCATACAATTCAGCAGAAAAAATACTAGCCGAAGATAGTAAATGCCCTTGTACGACGCTGTCCGGAAACACTGCTGCGAATTCTACGGCGTCAGAAGACTTAGAGCCATCTGTGTACACAGCAATGGCATGAGAATGAGAGTGAAAGTGGTCAAGAAAAAGAGAGCGGGAAGCGACCGTAGACAGTTGGGCTTTCGAGCAAGGGAGAGAGAAAGAACAGACTCGAACAGCTGGAACTTCCCAGGGGGGTAGGGAAAAGTGAGATGCTACATGAACATAGAAAGGTGGTAATTGAAGAGAAGACAAGAGCGAATGAAGGCGAAGAGAGAAGGGACGGATTAAACAGGGGCGGCGAACAAATAAAGAATGTCTACTAATATCAGTGACCATTCTATAAATGGAAGGATTGCAGAGATCATGAGAGCATACATAGTAGCGATGGCAATGGGCATCACGGCGATCGGATAAGGATGGAACGTTCGCTTCTGCATAGAGGCTCTCGACAGGGGAAGAGCGAAAAGCACCAAGGCATAAACGTAATCCTTGGTGATGAATGGGGTTAAGGATAGAGAGAGTAGCAGATGCCGCTGAATAGATCTGGTCACCATAATCAAGTTTCGATAAAATAAGGGTGGAATGTAGGCGAAGGAGGGTTCGACGATCAGCTCCCCATGAAAGATGAGCAAGGGTTTTAAGAAGGTTCAGCCGGCTGTGACAGGTTGCTTCAGAGAGGTAATGTGAGGGTTTCCAGGTAACCTACGATCAAAGAGGAGGCCCCGAAACTTGACTGTATCACGTTCAGGGATACTGGAGCCATAGAGGTACAAAGGATGATCGGAGATGACAGAGCGTCTAGTGAAACTAATTTGGTGGGTTTTAGTGCTGGAAAATTTAAACACGTGTGGTGGCCCAATTGGAAACACGGTCGACTGCATGCTGGAGAGAAACTGTAATGAGGTGACAGTCAGCGTCTGCACAGGCAATAGCGAAGTCATCAACATAGAGTGATGACCAAATATTTGATGGAAGACCAGAAGCCAAATCATTAATAGCAAGGAGAAAAAGAGTTGTGCTCAAAACACATCCCTGGGGGACACCTTCAGCTTGGATAAAGTCCGGGGAGAGCACATTATTAACCCGAACACGGAAATGCCTGTCAGTTAAAAAGTTCTTAAGGAAGGATGGTAAATTGCCTCGAAGGCCTAAGGAGTGGGCTTGGGCTAAAATATTATACCTCCAAGTTGTGTCATATGTCTTCTCAAGGTCAAAAAATATGGCAATAACTGAGTGGTTATTCGCAAAGGCATTACGAACATACGTATCCAAGCGTAGAAAGGGGTCTATGGTAGAACGTCCCTTACGAAAGCCATATTGACGAGTGGAGAAACTGTGTGTGTTCTCTAAATACCACACTAAACGTCTATTTACTAGGCGTTCCATCACTTTGCAAACTGCACTGGTAAGAGCAATGGACGATAGTGGAGGTTTCATGTCCCGTAGTGCCTGGTTTGCGGAAAGGGAGAGCAATGGCGGATTTCCACAGCTGTGGAAGAACTCCTTGTGACCAAATAAGATTGTAAAGGCGTAATAAGACTGCAAGGGCTGACTGATGTAAATGTTGTAGCATACGAATATGAATGTCGTCGGGCCCAGCTGCCGATGATCGGCAAGCTGAGAGTGTTGCCTCCAGTTCTTGAAGTGTAAAAGGCACATTATACTGTTCTTCTCTGAGAGAAGAAAAGTCCAAGGGTGCTAACTCTCTGGCAGACTTTGAGGAAAGAAATGATGGGCATAGATGGAGTCCCTGAGAGATACGGACCAGATGATTGCCAATTTCATTGGCAACATCTAGTGGGTTTGCTATATCAACACCGGCAACCCGCAGAACAGGAGCCGGGTCAGGAGAATATTTACCACTCAGTTTTCGTACTTTTTCCAGACTGCACTCAGAGGAAGCAGAGGTGATGGTGGAGACAATCTCGCCAGCAAGTGCGTTTAGCGTCACGGATGACACGGCGAGTGATTGCACGCTTCTGCTTAAAATCAAGAAGTCTCTCTGTGGTTCTATTGTACCGGTACCTGCCCCATGCAGCGCGTTTCAAACGTACTGCACGAGCACAAGCAGGAGACCACCAAGGCACGCATTTCTGAGAATGCCTGCCCGAAGTTTGGGGTATAGAATGAGAAGCTGTGGTTAAAACGGAGGACGAGAAGAGGTGTAAAAGCTCATCGATGGAGGACGAAGAAGGAACCTCTCTAAAAACAGTTAGGTGTGAGTAGAGGTTCCAATATGCCTGATCAAATTGCCAGCGTGGGATGCGAAGAGGTGGTGAATATGAAGGGGAAGTAAGAATGATTGGGAAATGATCACTGTCATGTAAGTCCAGGAGAACAGACCAAGTGAAGTTTAATGCGGTGGAGGAAGAGCAGACTGAGAGATCGATGCAAGAGAGAGTGTGAGTCCGAGGATCAAAAATGGGTGTGAGTACCTGTATTTAAAACATGGAGGGGGTGGGTGGCAAGAAAAGCCTCCAACTGAATGCCACGGGAATCACAGTGAGACCCTCCCCCCAGAGGAAATGGTGGGCATTAAAATCACCAAGTAACAGAATCGGTGGCGTAATGACGAAACAAGAAAGGCAATATCCAGAATAGATAATGCCGAGAAGGAGAGAGATATAAAGAACAGAGCGTATACCACCTATGTAAGTGGATACGGGCTGCTGTGTAATGCAGCGAAGTATGAACAAATAGCTGATGGTACGGAATATCAGTGCATAGAAGAAGGGTACTTTCATAAAGGTCCCATCAGGAAAAGGATCTGAAGAATACAATAAATTATAGCCCGAGATGGAGAGATAACAGCAGAGTGTAATTTTGGTTCCTGTAAGCAAACACCAACAGGGGAAAACTGGGAGAGTAACATCTGAAGCTTTACCCCGATTACCCAAGCCAAAGTATATTCCACTGTAAATAGGCCATGATTGCAATGATAAAGATACCTGAAATCCGCAGGTAAGGGTTTCCTACGGACTAGAGGGGTTAGAAAAGTCCACATGCGGATCAGTGGAAAACGTTCAAGCAGTGAAGGAATGGTGCGCTGTGAAGAAAGGAGTTGTGCAGATGGAGCAGAGGAGAGAGAAGGAGCGGAGGATGATCAGTGTCCATTGATGGTTTGGTCTCTGCAATATATTCAGAGATTGCTTCAAGTGTTTCGGAATTCAGAGACGTCGAATGGGAGACAATATTGGAAATGGTAGGGGAAGGATATAAAGATTGGAACTGTATTGGACTGTACTAAGGTAGGGGGATGGGGAAAGGGTGGAGAGACTGGAGAAGCATGGAAGGGGACAGAAGAGGCAGAAACCTGGGGGGTGGCAGAATAGGAAGAAACTTGGGAGGGAACAGGGGAGGAAGGTACAGTACGAGGAGGAGGCGAACCTCTACAGTTTTAACAGAGCCAGTGAGAGGGGGAGAACCAGGGACAGAGACAGGGAAGGTAAAATGAGGAGGTGGAAGATGGGTAGGAGGTGTTAACGGACTATTTTTGACTTTGAGAAGTAGAGGGACGATTGGGAGGTGTCATACGAGATCTCGTCGCTACTGAGGCTTGTGAGAGAGAACACGAAGAAGCGAGATCAGACTGAGGCATTGAAGTAGGGACGTCTGAGCGAGGACAGCAAAAGAATTAGGTACAGGAGTGACTATGGAGAGGTAACCACAGAGGTGGGTGCAGAGATGGGATACCAAAGTGGGGGACGTTTTGAAACACGGAATAAGAAACACGAGGTAGTCTCCCTTGGAGGCGGAGATGAGAAACTGCCATGGCATAAGGGAGACCTTCTGCCTCTTTGAGGTAACGGATTTCCCGCTCGTTTAAGTAGACTTGACAACGGCGAGAGTACGAAGGGTGAGCCTCATGACAATTAAGGCAAGAGGGAGGTCGATGCAAGACGTATTAGAATGGTCATCGGCACCACAGACTGGGCATTCGGCGATAGATCTGCAATATTTCGCTGGATGGCCAAATCGCCAGCAATTTCTACCTGTTGCGGTGTAGGGATCACCTTTTGAACTTGTAACCGATGTCCTGCTACATAAACTGAAGGTGGAGTTCACGGGTTCAAAAATTAAACGAGCCACGTTGCTAGGGTATCGTACCCGCCCGCGGTCAGGAAGAACGTAAGTGTCTACCTTGAGGATTGGGAGATCTTGGAGTTCAAGCTGTTCAAGAATGTCAGTGCCACATGTCTGGAAATTTTGTTGAACTATGGTATGGGGCCAGAATGACGGTACCACTACAAGAATTGAGGGGAATGATGTTTTTCAATAGTGACAGGAACAGTATCGATATGGGAAACACGAGAAAGCTCATGAGCCTGGGTAGCATTCTGTACGGTGATGATGCGCATACCACTCTTAAGAGCATGAAAAGAAATATCTTTACCAACATGGCGTAGGAGTGCCTTGCCAATACTGTGGTCAGAAAGATAGGCAGTAGAGGAAGTCGGTCGTAAAGTGAAGAATTTAGTCCATTGTGCAGTCCGAAACTGAGCGTGAAAGGTAGTGAAGGACGTGTCGATCTTTTCTGAGAAGAACGAGAAGGTGGAGAAGTATCATCAGCAGGTAATTGTCGTTGGTATTTAGGCGTGGGACCAGAGTTGGTCCGACGTGGAACGGGTCGGCGATTCGAAAATTGCCGCACCATAGAGGGAGAGACCGGAAGCATAGTCAGAGGAGAGCGAAGGTCAGATATATCGAAGGAGTCAGTCGAGGCCTCAGAACCTGAAGCGGGTGAGGAAACAGCACCGACGAGAGGTACAGAGGCATGAGGAGTGTCCGAAGAGTGGTCCAAAGACGAGGCGGGGTCGGAACGGGGTGCGGTATCAAGAAGGGGCCCGGGGGTAGCAGGTTCATGGACTAGGGCTGCCATGGTTAGGTTACTTCTTTCTTTTTGTTTTTAAGAAAAAAAAGAAAGAAAAGAAAAAAAGAAAAAAAAAGAATAAAAAAAGGGGGGACCGGGGAGGGATAGTTCCTAGGAGGAATGAAAGGGCCAGAAATCTCCCTCTGCGCCCAAGAGGACCTCAGCACCGCAAGGAGCGCAGATGCAGCATGGAACCCGTGCCATACCCTACCCATCATGCCAGTAAACCAGCAATCCGGGATAGCAACCTCACATCTGCCGAGCTACCTCGGTGGACAAAAGAGAGGGCTGCCGGAAATCCACCACAAAGCATACCTCCTTCGGCCACCACCCCCGGAATCGGAAAGGTGGCTTCCAGAGATACACCCGTCGCCCGAGAGACACCCAAAGCCACCCTCCGGGATACCCGAGAGGGATCGGGACATCCCTAGGCAATCCAGATTCCACGGCAAACTACGCCACCGCCAAGAACCTCAACGGAATGGGATGGGATGGACCCCGGTACCCTTTCCCCTACCTAGGAACTAGCGTGCCTGTGGGGGAAAAAAAAAAAAAAAAAAGGAATGGCAAAAGGGAGGTGTGGGGAGGAGGAGGAGGAAAGGAGAAAGGGGAGGATGGGATAAGGAACGGGGGATTGGGGGGTAATTAGGTTCGGTCTGAGGAAGGAGACCGACAGGTCTAATTCCTCAGACCAAGAGCCTCTTCACCACGCCAAGGAGCCCCCCTTGAAGAGGTCAACCTTTCCTAGCATATCCCTTTCGTCAACCTTTCCGCATATCCCCTACATCTTCCTTCAACCTTTCCTAGTGTATCCTCTACACCTTCAACGCTTCCTAGCATATTCCTTACACCTTCACAATTATGCACAATAAGCGCAGAATTATCATTTTTTAGTGGTGGGAAGCGCTTCTTGGCTTCTCTTATCCTTTTTAGAACTTCCACCATCACTACTTTTGCACTTTGAGGTCATTATTAAACAAAATTAGGAGTTATTTTTAGGTTTCGGTGAACAGCGGATAAATGAAACAGAATAACCGCCCCGCGGATACAGGGGTCCTACTATATTTATGAAACAAAGCTTAGTGAGAGTAGTGGCCTCCAGCAGTGTTCAGGTCTACTATCTTTATTATGCAACCTATACCTATCATGTGGGCGGTAGTCAAATGATTTCAGAGGTACATAATGGGCCACAAAGTTTTGATAACTGAACAAGTTATAAAGGTAATGTACCTTCACTGAAGTGTAGACAGTGCTGACTCTTGGGAAGAGTTTCTGACACTTCCGGATCCAATCTTTACTGTGATTAATGGTTGTGACAGCCTCCTGTGCAGTGTCAAGGGACTCCAGAACGGTCTGCAGCTGCTGCTTTCCTGCCTCTCCTTCTGTTGTTATATTTACCACATTATCCTCCTCCTCCTCCAGAAGCTCTATTGCTGACATAATCTCTTCCAGCAGATCACGGAGTCTGTTCTGCAGTTGGTGGTGCTGGGTCTTCCACTCCCACACCTGCCTCTGGTACTCTACCAACTGGGAGAGTACATCTTCACACTCACTTATAAGGTTACTGATACTTCTACTTTGTTCCTGTAACTTCTTACTGATGCCATTTGTGTTGTCAGGACTTGCTGACATTGCACCCACTGATGTGAGATGGGTATCTCTGAGTTTCTGTATCAAGGTTTCCACAATGTAGCAGACTGGGAACTGAGTAGCAGCTGAGGCCCTGTGCTCAGCACGGCAGTTGGGGCAGATGAGCCAACCATTTTTTATTGTATTTTTAATACATTTTGAGCAGAATGTATGTCCACACGGCAGAGTACGTGGTCGTCGTAGTTCTTCATCATAATTGTGACAACACACTATACACTCCTCTGGCGTGTTGCTATCCTGTAGAAATGAATATCATGTTAGATTTTACACTAAAACACTGCTAACTTATAATATTAATATTTTACGTTAAAACAGAGTTGAATTTCACTAAGTTACTCAGTGAGTTTTAGAGAATTTAGAAAATCTAAAATATTGTTAAACTTCTTTATAGTAACCATTACACACATGCATGCATACATACACATACATACACATACATATACATACATACACATACACATACATACATATACATACACATACACATACACACATACATACATACATACACATACACATACATACATACATACACATACATACACTAAAGGTATACAAGGTCAACAATCCAGGTGTCATTTTATGTATAAATATAACAAATATCAATTAACTGATAAATTTGCTGAGCTCTTACACAACTAATAATAATTTGCTGAGTTCTTACACAACTAATAATAATCATAATTTTTTCAAAATTTGTTATTGACATTTTCTCGTAAATGGAATTTAGTAAATAATGACAGGTCCACCATGATGCCCAGGGCAGGTCCACCATGATGCCCAGGGCAGGTCCACCATGATGCCCAGGGCAGGTCCACCATGATGCCCAGGGCAGGTCCACCATGACGCCCAGGACAGGTCCATCATGACGCCCAGAGCAGGTCCACCATGATGCCCAGGACAGGTCCACCATGATGCCCAGGGAAGGTCTACCATGATGCCCAGGGCAGGTCCACCATGATGTCCAGGGCAGGTCCACCATGATGCCCAGGACAGGTCCACCATGACGCCCAGGGCAGGTCCACCATGACGCCCAGGGCAGGTCCACCATGACGCCCAGGACAGGTCCACCATGACGCCCAGGACAGGTCCACCATGACGCCCAGGGCAGGTCCACCATGACGTCCAGGGCAGGCCCACCATGACGCCCAGGGCAGGTCCACCATGACGCCCAGGGCAGGTCCACCATGACGCCCAGGGCAGGTCCACCATGACGTCCAGGGCAGGTCCACCATGACGCCCAGGGCAGGTCCACCATAACGCCCATGGCAGGTCCACCATGACGCCCAGGGCAGGTCCACCATGACGCCCAGGGCAGGTCCACCATGACGCCCAGGGCAGGTCCACCATTACGCCCAGGGCAGGTCCACCATGACGCCCAGGGCAGGTCCACCATGACGCCCAGGGCAGGTCACACCATGACGCCCAGGGCAGGTTCACCATAATGCCCAGGGCAGGTTCACCATGATGCCCAGGGCAGGTCCACCATGACGTCCAGGGCAGGCCCACCATGACGCCCAGGGCAGGTCCACCATGACGCCCAGGGCAGGTCCACCATGACGCCCAGGGCAGGTCCACCATAATATCCATGGTATTATTATAAAAACTCGCTAAACTTACAAGGTCATACAGAACAGCAGGGCAGGGGATAGTACAGTATCATAGCATAGCAAGGGTGGAGTGGACAACAGTGTGTTGGAAAGGTCTGTGAGAAGTACTAAACTATGTATTATCAAAGTTTGTGTAGGAAATCAGTTGCTTATAAAAAGTCAACGAGGGAATCTGAGTCAAGGGTGAGTCAGTCAGCAAGGTGGGAAGATGAAGTGGAGTCCAGTCTATCAGTAAGTGTGCTCATTGATAGACTGGACAGTCCAATAGAATATGGCTAACCGAGACTAGAACCTGACAATTCCCACATAGTGGCACAGGGTGCCTCTCCATGAGGTACCCATGAGTAAGATGAGTGTGCCTGATGCGATAATGGGAGGGCGTAGTCTCTCACCCCCTCGACATCGATAACAAGAAGGTGGGCAGAAACCTAACTTGGTTTGAAAGAATGTAATTTCTTATGTGTCATATTAGACCAACATTGTTGCTAATGGTAGCAATAGTGGTTACAAATTACAACAAAATAGTCTGAGTGGAACACCTTTATTTGAAACGGAGGTCAAGTACTGCTGACCACACAGTATTATTATAACAAAAAATAAGCGCTAAACACAAGGGTCAAACAGTGCAGCAGTGGATGGAAGGATGCAGGGGTATTGGGTAGCAAGAGGGAGAAGGATGATTAGTAGGTTATGGAGTGCAGTGGGATAATGGATAGTGCAGGGGAAGAGGGTAGCAAGAGATTGAGGTAGAAAGGACTGAGGGGAGTGCTAGAGGTATCATCAGAGTTTGTATAGTAAATCAGTTGGTGTCAAAAAGTCAATGAGAGAGTCTGGGTTACAGGAGGGTTCATCAGCAAGAAGGGAAGGTAAAGAAAGGACATAAGAGTGGAAACGATGTTCGAGGTAAATTCTGCAGGTTCGCTGATAAGAGTGGGCAGTCCAACAGAATATAGCTAACAAACTGGAACACGACAATTCTCACAGAGGAACAGGGCGACTCTCCATAAGATACCTGTGAGTAAGACGAGTGTGGCTGTTGTGAAGATGGGATGTGATGACAAGATGGCCAGAAACACATACATACCTGGAGTTTACCTGGAGAGGGTTTCGGGGGTCAATGCCCCTGTGGCCTGGTCTGAGATAGGCCTCATGGTAGATCAGGGTCGGATCAACCAGGCTGTTACTGCTGGCTGTATGCAAGCCGACGTACGAACCACAGCCCGGTTGGTCGGGTACTGTCTTTAGGTGTCTGTCCAGTGCCTTCTTGAAGACATCCAGGGGTCCATTGGTAATCCCCCTTATGTATGCTGGGAGGCAATTGAACAGTCTGGGGCCCTGGACACTTATTGTGTTGTCTTTCAATATACTCGTGGTGCCCCTGCTTTTCATTAGGAAATGTTGCATCTCCTGCCGAGTATTTTGCTTTCACAGGGAGTGATTTGTGTGTGCAGGTTTGGTGCCAATCCCTCCAGGACCTTGCAAGTGTATATTATCATGCACCTCTCTCACCTGCGTTCGAGGGAATACAGATCAAGGACCTTCAACCGTTCCCAGTAGTTCAGGTGACTTATCGCACTTATGTGTGCCATGGAAGTTCTTTGTACACTCTCCAGGTCTGCAATGTCACCAGCCTTGAAGGGGGCCGTTAGTGTACAGCAGTATTCCAGCCTAGAGAGCACAAGCGATTTGAAGAGAAGCATCATGGAGCAAATCAGATCAATGTTGTTGCCAATGGGTGCAAAGGTGGGTAGAAATTACAGCAAAATAGTCCGTGAATGAACACCTCTATATGAAACAGAGGTCATGTACTGCTGACCGCACAGCAGTCTGCTTGTTTATTGCCCTGTACATCAACATGACCAGGGACACAACAAAAAGCAGTATCTGTGATTGCTAAAGATACAGCGTAATCAAAGTTGGATACGAAGAACTGAGGGGTGAGGTCTATCAAATTTTCGTATAGCCTGTAAAGCACTAAGAGAATCTGAAACGACCACAAATGGTGACACAGGCACAGATACAATACTGATAAGTGCTACGAAAAATGGCATACAATTCAGCCATAAAAATGCTAGCTGAGGATAATAAATGCCCTCGCACGACGCTGTACGGAAACACTGCTGCGAATCCAACGCCGTCAGAAGACTTGGAACCATTGGTGTATACTACGGTGGCATGAGAATGAGACTGGAAGTTTTCAAGAAAAAGAAAATGAGAAGCCACAGTAGGCAGTTGGGCTTTCGTGCATGGCAGTGGGAAAGAACAGACATGAACCGTCGGAACTTCCCAAGGGGCAGGGAAAAGTGAGATTCTACATGAACAGAGAAGGTAATAACTGAAGAGAAGAGAAGAGCGAATGTAGGTGAAGAGAAAAGAGCGTAAACAGGGGCAACGAACGAAGATCGTCTACTAACATCAGAGGTCATGAGAGCGAACATAATAGTGAAGGCAGTGAGCATCATGGTAACGGGACAAGGATGGAATATTCGCGTCTGCACAGCTCTCAACTGGTGAAGGGAGAAAAGCAATGAGGCTTAAACATAATCCCTGGTGATGGATGGGATTAAGGCTAGAGAGAGTTGCAGGAGAGGCTGCTGAATTAACCTGGTCACCATAATCGAGCATCGATAAAATTAGAGCTGAATGTAATCGAAGGAGAGTTCGAAGATCAGCCCCCCCATGAAAGATGAGTGAGGGTTTTGAGGAGGTTCAGCCGGCTATGACAAGTTGCCTTCAGAGAGGCAATGTGAGATTTCCAGGATAACCGACGGTCAGACAGAAGGCTGAGAAGCCTGACCATATCATGTTCTGGGATATGCAAGCCACATAGGTACAATGGATGATCAGAGATGACAGAACATCTAGTGAAAGTAATTTTGCGAGTTTTAATACTAGAAAAATTTAAACCCACGAGCTGTAGCCCAATTGGAAACACGGTTGACTGCATGCTGGAGAGAAACTGCAATGAGGTGACAGTGCCTGCACAAGCTATAGTGAAGTCATCAACATAGAGTGATGACCAAATATTGGATGGAAGGATAGAGACCAGATCATTAATAGCCAGGAGAAAAAGTGTGGTGCTCAGAACACACCCCTGGGGGACACCTTCAGCTTGGACCAAGTCCGGGGGAAGCATATTATTAACCTAAACATGGAAATGTCTTTCAGTTAAGAAGTTCTTAAGGAGAAATGGTAGATTCCCTTGGAGGCCTAAGGAGTGGGCCTGGGCCAAGATATTATACCTCCAAGTGTCATATGCCTTCTGAAGGCCAAAAAAGATGGCGATGACTGAATGGTTATTGGGAGAGGCATTATGGACATATGTATCTAAGCGTAATAAGTGGTCAATGGTAGAACGGCCCTCACGAAAGCCAGATTGACTAGTGGAGAGAGACTCTAAATACCACATCAAACATCTATTTACGTTACATAACCTTGCAAATTGCACTGGTAAGAGCAATGGGACTGTGGAGAAACTTTCTCCAGGAAGGGGGTATCAGCCCCTTTTAGCCCTGAGGGGCCCAGCCCTCTCAGAAGGGGCATCTTGTTTACTGCTACATCAAGTAATTACCAGCAGATGTTTAACCAGCGTGTACCAGTTACATGGTCACGCGGCTCTTTGCAAGA